AGAAAAAAAGCTCCTCTATTGGCAACTAGCTGTCTAAGGAAAGCAGCTGGGAATTGGTGTAGGGGAGCTGTAACATTCAGGTACAGACTTGAATGGAAAAAGTTATATTTTAACAGGAGAGACGCAAGCCCCCAGAATTGATTAGAGAAATGGAATGTTGGGACGTGAGGAGAAAGTTTGTCCATCCTCAAATCCTCCTCTTGAGAATACTGCATTTCATACGTGTTCAGTACGAATTGGAGAATGTTGATATAATTTTTTTCTGTAAACTGAAAAATGCAGAGAGCTTAAAAAGCAGGCATCCTTCTTTTCAGGTGCTCACTGATATCTTCCTCTGGTCTATACACTGCTGAAAACTCTCCAAATAGCCAACAAGAATTGAAGAACTGAAGAAAATTATGAGAGTGAGTTATGGGTCCTTAGAGGTTCGTTGCATTTCAGTGGCCCCTTGGGTGTATTTGATGCTGAGTCCATGAACCTCGCATCCTGAGAGGAGTTTGAACAAAGCCCTCAAGAAGCTGAAGCCAGAAGAAGTCAAAAGCTTCTTGGAGTGTTAATGGGTCCCACTGAGGGTTGTTGCCAAAGAAGGCTCCCCAGAGGCTGATAAAGCAGAACTTTGGAGGTGCTGATTGTAGCTAGGTAGGTGCTGATTGTAGGTAGACAAAGGCAATGTATAGGTGGCTCTGATGCCAAGTCAACCCTGACATGCTTTATCAAGTAGACTGTACAGGTACTGACACACAGCCTGTGCACAGGGTGATCCTTTCCTCCATATGTTGCTTAGGGCTCTTTCTGGAGACACTAGGTAGGGGCATGGAAGGACAAGTGCAGGATAACAATATGGCACCTTCTGGGCTCCCTGAATGTGAGGAGGCTGTCAGGCCACAGTGATTTAAGGAAACAGCATCTTCTTAAAGTCCTCAGTGGCAGAGACACCGGCCATAGCCAAGAGGACAAAGACAGTTCTGTTGAGTCCTTGCAGCTTTGGCAGTGTCCGTAAAGCTGAACCAGTGCCAACCAAAAAGTTGACCTATGGTGTCCCATACTTGTGCCTGTTTCCCTGAAAAGAGCAGACAAACAAACTGCTTTGTCACTTTACTCTCATTCACGGACCTCCCTACTTCTACTCATGTCACTGTCCCCACTTGTTTCTCCTTAAAAGACCAAGACAGCGGATGACCACAGAGATCCCTCAAAGAAACCTGGAGCACCAGAGGCCTGCTCTTCAAGTTCTCTCAACCTCTCTACATGGACACAGTCATCCCCCACTATGCGTAGGACTTGACACTTCTCTTGCAAATCTCCAGGAGGTGCCTGTTCTCCAAATCACCCAAGTTTCACATGGAACTTCAGGACTGAAGTTTCCCTCCACCAACCAACAAACAAAATAACAGAAGACAACACCAACGGAGAAAGGGTTAGACAGATTTGGGGTCACTGTATCAGAGGACATAAGGTAGAAGACACAAACTTAGAAGGGAGAAAGAGAAGAAAAGAAAGTGGGAAGTGAAAGTTAAGCAAAAGATTGATCAGGAGAATCTGGGGATTCCTTTCTAGAATTTAGGGGGGAAGGGAGCTCAGGAGCTCTCTAGCCCAATCTCCTTGCTCCCAGCAGGGTCAGCTCTGGGGCCAGCCAATTTGCTCTCCGCTTGATCCAGTCTGAACTTAGAAACATTCAGGTGGGGAGACTGCACAGCCTCTCCAGGGAACCAGTTCCCAGTTGGTTGACCATCCTCTGAAGGGAAAAACTTTTCCTTATCTTCTCCGTGAATCAGTCTTCTTTCAATTTATGCACATTACCACTTATCCTCCCACCATGCATTAGGATGAAGATCCTGCCTCCATCTTCTTGATGACCTCCCTGAAGCAAAGGAAGGCCCTCCAAATGAAGTCCCTCCGAAACCACCTCTTCTGCAGGTTGAACAAGTCGCATATCTTCACAGTTCAAGTGCTCCAGCTCCCAGCTATCTTGAGGGCCCTCTGACATATTTTCTCCCAGTTACCAACCTTTTATGTTTCCCAAGGACCCACACTGAATGCAAAATTCTAGATATGGTCTAGGAAATACTGATAAGAGCAGGATCTGCATTTCCTTCCAGCTCCAGTCTCTGTTCCTGCTCATAAAGGCCTGGATGCTTTTGGCCTTCTTTGCTGCCAGCCAAAGCTGCTGGCCCACCTTTTGCCTTCTGTCTACCCCTTTTCTGCAGATCTGCTACTGACACTCAGGCCCCAGCTTGTTACAAGGGCCCAGTGTGTAACAGGGCTACTGTGGCGTCTTGTTCTGTCCCTAGTACAGAACCTGGCATTTTTCCTTGGTTAGTTTTGTGAGGTCTCTGAAGCTTCTTTCTCCTGTGTATCTAGGCCTCTCTGAACGGCAGTCCTCAAGCACATGTTTGGTCCCTGTCGCCTTGCAGTTTTGGGCCATTTACAAGAATGGGAAGTATTGCCTCTTCTGTGTCACTAGGAAAGAGGATAAACCAGTCAGTTTCCTGGAGTGATCACTATTGCTCCATTTCTCTCTGGCCTCCCCAAGAGGGCTACCTCTTCATCACTGCCCTCCGAGCCTGAACATCCAAGCAGCTTTCTACTTGACAGACTGTCTATCCCTCTAGACAGTGTATTTCTAAGTTGTATGGAAAAATATGGTGGGAGACAAACACCTGGCTAAAGTCCAGGTAAAAGATGTTTGATCTTCACCATCTACAAATTCAACTATTTAATCACAGAAGGCAACCAGGTTGTAAGGCACAAGTTACCCTGGGAAAACTATGCGGACTGTTCCCAGGCACCTTCTTCTCTTTCATGTGCCCTGAAATGTGATGTGAGAGGATTCATTCCACTCCACTATTGGAGGCAACATCTGAACCATGGGAAAATGAGCACTCCACTTGTTTCTGTATAGGGATCCACTGCAGTTAAGAGATCGGAACTGGGCCGCACTTCATATAGTTAACCATTCCGCAATTTGACAAACTGCAATGTTGGAACCATTCTCTCTTCATTTTCCCGAGGAACACCATAGGGTGACATCAATGACTGCTTCCCAACAGGAAGAGAGATATTTAGACCTTCAGCAGGGTATCTGCCAGTCTCCTGGAATAGAGGGAGCTCATGGAAACCTGGCAGCACTGCCAAGAGGCAGCTCTGTGTGACCATGTGCTCCTCCTCCCCCATATTCTCTTGATGTGCTCTTCCCCTGCCACTCTCAACCTGACCACTCCACAAACAGTACATAGGCAGGGGCTAACTGAGCATGCACCAACTAAAATCCATCTAGTATGCAAATATGACTAGGAGTCAATCATCTTTCTCCCCTCCCCCCCATAAATAGCATGGGCAGTCCAGAGCACATTGAGCTCTCCTTCACAGCAGCCTGCTGTACTGCAGAACCTCCTTTTGAGCAAGGACACCTCTCAAGGATACTCCTTGCGGTTGAAAGATTCCTTATGCATGTCGGATCCTCAGTAAGTGATTAATAGCATGTGGACACTTTGCAAACATTTGAAACTTTGCTTAGTTGTATCTCTGATTGATTGTGCACACAATCCTTTAGACGCAAGCTGCTGACCGCATTTGAGATCAGGGTTGGATCCAGACACCCACAGGTTGCTCTGACAAGGAGTTTGGAAAGCAAGGCAGTCCATTGTCCATTCTGAAATTCATGATTCAACAGGAGGGTCTCCTTGGTGCTTCCATCTGACCCTGTTCTTCATGCAGTACATAAGTGAGTAAACCTTGCCATTGTTCATTTTTAAATCACTGACTTATTTAACATGGAACTATGTTAAATCACTGTATCTTCCTTCAGTGAAATATATTACTGCTTCTCTCTCATGGGAGAACTGCTCCATTCCTCACCATCCTCAACACTCTGCCCAGGAGCAGATCTTCGGCAAAGAGTAAGAGGGCTCCAAGCACTGCCTGCTCTTGCTGCCATAAGGTGAGAGAAGGCAGAGAGATGTGAAAGGCAGTCTGGAGGAGGAGGACAGAGGAGAGCTCCTTGTGGGAGAAATCTTCGCAATCTTTTGCATGGGAAATGTCTGATTGTGGATTAATGTTACTGAGGTACCTGTAGGAGTCTTCTAAGCATGTGCCATTCCATGACTGTAACTGGGATCACCCTCCCAACTTCTACAGTATGCTGGAGGAGGAGATGTTTCCAGTTGGAATTCACTGCCGCATGCTTAGAAGGTCAGGGTGTCCTGCTACCTGCTCCCAGGGACACCCCAGGGGGATGAATCTAGTGGATTCACAGGGGTCTGTCTAGAGCTGTAGCTCAGAGCAGTTCTGAGTGCCCAGTGGGTGGGTTGTGGTCTGTGAGCACTGAAAAGGGATAGAGGTTGGAACAAAGACACTGGTTCCTGCAGGGACAGCTCCAGGCAGCAGAGTCCAAGTGTGGCTGGAAGCTACAAATTTCAGCATCTCTTCTCTTCTCCTACCCAGCACAGCCCTCAGGCCTATGGAGTCTAGGTCAGGACTTATTTCTTTGGTGGGCACATACCCAGAGGAGGAGAAACACTGGAGTGTCTTGATGTTTTTCTGTGCCCCTGCCTCCCTTGGCAGTAATATCATGCCATTGCTCCATGTCTCCCCACCTGTCTGTGCTGCTTTTGTCCTTTCCCTTGACCTCCCTGTTAAGGAGGATTCAGATGCAATTAAAACTATGCACTTGTGGCACCTGCCATGCAGACCTGTCCTTGCCAATGAGGTGCCCAAGTATCCCTCTGACCTGTGTGGATCTGGGCAATGAACTGTGGGGGTGAGAGGTACTGCAGGGGAATGAGCCACCTCTCTCTTCAGGACATCCCATCTGCAAGAGCTTTAACCATTTGATTCTGAAGGCTCTTTGACACTGCACAGAAAGCAAAGATGGGAAGGGGTAATATCTGCTTTTGTGGGGAGGGCAGATGTATAAGCATAACAAAGAAGCTCAGAGAAGTCTGCCCTGACTTGTTAATGTCTTTCTCTCCTTGGACAGTCCCCATGCCCAAAGGGAGCAAATGTCCAACAGAAGTTCCTTCAATGAGTTCCTCCTGCTGGCATTCTCAGAAACACGGGAGCTGCAGCTCTTGCACTTCTCGCTGTTCCTAGGCATCTACGTGGCTGCCCTGCTAGGGAATGGCCTCATCATTACAGCAATAGCCTGTGACCACCACCTCCACACCCCCATGTACTTCTTCCTTCTCAACCTCTCCCTCCTCGATCTTGGCACTATCTCCACCTCTGTCCCCAAATCCATGTCCAATTCCCTGTGGGACACCAGGACCGTTTCCTACTTGGAATGTGCTACTCAACTCTTTCTGCTTGTCTTTTTCATTTTGGCTGAGTACTTCCTTCTCACTGTCATGGCCTACGACCGCTTTGTTGCCATCTGCAGACCCCTGCACTATGGCACCCTCCTGGGCAACAGAGCTTGTGTCAAAATGGCAGCAGCTGCCTGGGGCAGGGGGTTTCTCTGTGCTGTCCTGCACACTGCTAATACATTTTCACTACCATTCTGTGAAAGCAATGTCCTGGGACAGTTTTTCTGTGCAATTCCCCAGATCCTCAAGCTCTCCTGCACAGACTCCTACCTCAGGAAATCTGGAGCTACTGTGGTTGTTGCCTGCTTAGGCTTTGGGTGCTTCATTTTCATTGTGGTGTCCTATGTGCAGGTCTTCAGAGCGGTGCTGAAGATCCCCTCTGAGCAGGGACGACACAAAGCCTTTTCCACGTGCCTCCCTCACCTGGCTGTGGTCTCCCTGTTCGCCATCACGCTTGCGTTTACTCACCTGAAGCCCCTCTCCATTTCCCAACCAAATCTGGATCTGGTGCTGTCTGTCTTGTACTTGGTGGTACCTCCAACAATGAACCCCCTCATCTATGGCTTTAGGAACAAGGAGCTCAAAGATGCCATAAGGAGGCTGATCCAATGTGTATATTGTCAGCACCAGTAACTGTCTCAGGTGCCTCTACTACCCATTACCAAGGTATTTGATATCTAATCTATGTATTGTTCATTTCATTCTTGAGTTACTTTTCTTTGATGCATTCTTGTGAAAAAGAAAGATTTTGGTTTTGCTGCTTTCTGACTGACAAGTAAACCCATACCATATAAGAAGATGCAGAGGAGACAGGCAAAGGTTGAGGTTCCCAGGAACAGACTCATCTCAACACACGAGACACCAGAGGATGACCTTCATGATAGAGAAGCAGCTATACCTCTCAAGTGGATTAACGGGTTTAAACATTTCTTCTTAAGCTGATAAAATGAATGTGAATATCTCCCTCCGTTTAGTCAGAACAGTATGAGGGCAGTGTATTCATGGCTCAGCCCAGCATAGGTTGTAAAACCTGAAAAACTAACAGAGGAATGTCGAAGAGATCAATGGGCTTGTACTGACATCATCCCCTATATTCCTTTCTGGAGACTAGAGATGCCCAGCATTGTGAATGTGAACGTACTGTATATACTGATAACAGCAAACACAGTCAGTCAGCTGTGTCAGTGCATTTGTGCTTCCTGTACTTTGCAGAATCATGCTGCTAAAGCAATATCCTTTGTAACATCAACTATCTTTAAAATAAACTTTTCTGTTAAAACCTGAACTCTCTCTATGTATGGAATATCAGGAAGAACCTGCTCAAAGACTCTCACAGGCCGTTCCCCAGCAAAACCTCCAAAAGGGCATGGTTCTGTGGGTCCCTGTGCTCTATCTACTAAAACAGACCAGAATGCCAAGCATGTGACATGATGCTGCTGGGCTATTTTTCTGTCACTAAATCAGGTGTCTGTACAGAATTGTATTAGCTGTTTTAATGCAGAGATCTACATGATTATTTTAGTCTGCCTCAGTGAGCATCACCTAAGACGAGAGAGTACAAAGGAGAAATCAAGTAAGCCATTGAGCTGGGCCACTGTTCCCAAGTGGGGCAAGGCTCTTGGGGTAGGGTGAGCTCATGGAAGTTGGCATCAAAACCAAGAAACAGCTCTGTCCAGGAGCTGCTCCTCTGTGAAGACCAGCAGAGCTCTAGGCACTGCCTGCTGTTTGTGACATTAGATGAGAGAAGACACAATGGGAGAGAGAAGTTAGGGTGTGGAGTGAGGGGACAGATGAGGGCTCATTGTTGGAGAAATCTGTACAGATCTTGATGCAGTAAGTCTCTGGCAGCAGAGCAATGCTACTGCGGTGCCAGGAGGAGTCTTCTCAAATCATCTCAGGGGTGTAATTCAGAGCAGTGTCGTGTGCCACAGGGTGCTGTGTGCCCAGGGCAGGGACTCTGCCACTTGCAAGGGTCAGTGCTAAGCCAGCCTGGGCATTTTCTCATGCAGCAGCAGGGAGAAGCTCTTGGTGAGAGGATTGGTTTTTGTCCAACCTGCTCCTGAGGACCTGCATGCACAGAAATGGCCCTGCCCAGTGCCCAGAGCCAGGGGGTTTCAGGAGAGCACAACTGAGCACACAGAAGATGGAAGGAGATCATAGCATCAAAGCATCTCTGTGAGTGCTGACAGGGAAAAGATGTTGGGACAGAGGAACAGCTCCAGGCATGGACAGCTCCAGGCAGCACAGAAGGACAGAGAATGAGAGGAACTAAGAGAATTGTCAAGGCAGAATGGATGTCGGCAAGTCATGGCCAGTCCTGCTCGTGCAGACCCTTTCCTCTGATCAAGCCCTGCCACATATGGGAAGCTGAAAACACCCTGTGTGTCCTTGGCTAGAAGGGCAGTGTGCACGCCTCCCTTGATGGCTCTGAGAAAGGGACGGAAGCTTGAAGATCTGCACTTCCAAGCTAAATTCCTCTGTACTCAGCAGTGGCTGGTTTCTTTTTCAGGTGTGTGATAAGCGTGATCATGCTCCAGTGGAAAGAGCTGGATGCCCCATACTGCTGGGACAAATCTAATAGACAGACTAGCTGTCGTCACTCTACACCAAAGGTCAGTGAATCGTTTCCTCTCAGAAAAACATTGATATCCACAAGAAGAAAAAAGGTGTATATAAATGTTTTTTTGTGTGTATGTATGAGTGTATATATAGATATATACACCCACACATATATAAATATATGTATATACATATATACAAAGCCCTAAATCTCTGCTACTCTGTTCCTCAAAACCTCAATGAACTGGAGATGAAGATGCTGAAAAGGCCATCCAAATGAGCACTGCATTTCACCTGACAGAAATTCTGTATGTCAGAGCTAGTCCATTCCATCCTTCCCACCACTGTACTGTAGGATTAGGCGCTCTGCAGCCCATGGGTAGAGCCCCTGGCTCCTCACAGCCCACTCACCCACTGAAGAGCAGAGCTGAAGCAGGGGAGTTGCTATGAAGGAGGCATCATCGTGTGTTCAGATGGTGGCACTGACCTTCCCATTCCCTTCTCACTCATGACGTGGCCTTTGAACAATAATCAGAAGCAGGATTTGTTTATTCATTTCCAATAAAAAAAATATGAGTTTGTCATTCTGTCTGAAAGACTTTGGTACTAGTTAATCCCTCCCTCCTAGTTGTTCAGAAAACACTTGTCTCCTGGTGCCCTGAGAGACTGCATCTGGACCAGGGCCACACCACGGAGCACTTCTTCTTCAACATCTCTGCAGTTGTTGGGGCAGGAGGAGACTTGCGCTGTATGTGCTACCACCATGCTCTTGCTCAGGGAAATGTGGATGAAAATGAGCAAAGCCTTCTCAGGGGAATGTGGATGGAAGTGAGCAAAGCCCTTCCCTGAGCCATTTCTGCCCCTTCATGCAGCCCTGCTGTGTGCGTCAGAGCTGTCCCCG